GAATCCCTTTTGTGGCCTGGAACCCAGTATATATGCAGCCGCTAGATCCAATGCCTCCCTGCTTCTAAGGAAATCGTAAACATTAGGCCGACTAGTAACGCAAATGTTTAAAGGTATTTCGTTTTTATTTGCAAACACTTGTGGCGGCCTTACTTAGCAAAAAATGTATAAGTATTATAAAACAAAACTCATGAAAGGAAGAAACAAGTAAAACAAATACAAGGTGCGTTCCAAAGTAAACAGGACTTAAAAAAACAGACAGAATAAATGGTTTTATCGGCAAAATCAATTAATTTTATTCCAAATAGTCTCGTTTTGCTTTAAAACAGCTTTTTGCACGGTCCAAAAGCATGTCGAACGAGTGTTTTAGCTCGTTGCCCGGTGTGGCCGCCAGTATGCCGGTGCAAACCTTTTGAATGGCCTCCACGTCTGCATAACGCTTCCCTTTCATCGGCAAATGCATTTTTCCGAAAAGGTAGAAGTCGCACGGTGCCATATCAGGTGAATACGGGGAGTGATTGATTGTTAAAATGTGATTTTTGGTCAAATAATCGGCCACATGCGTCGATCGATGAGACGGCGCATTATCGTGCAACAAACGGGCATTACCATCTTCGCCATATTCGGGCCGAACACGTCGAATACGGCGCACCAAACGCCTCAAAACTCCAATGTAGAATACCGCATTAACGTTTTGGCCGGGTGGAACAAATTCTTTGTGGACAATACCCTTGGAATCATAAAAACAAATCAGCATTGTTTTCACTTTTGACTCATTTATATCCTCACGATCACTTTGAAAACTTTGAAACCACCCGTGCACTCTGCTACGGGATAGGCAATCATCGCCATAAACTTTTTTCATCAATTGAAACGTTTCGGTAAAATTTTTACCAATTAAAAAAAAAAATTCAGTTCATTTTAGCACTGATGACAAAAACATACTGACACTTAAAACGCAATAACTTCACTTCCAATAGATGAAATGTCATGAAATTTTTACTGGACGTCGATAAAGGATAGCGAATTCTAACGCACTAGTCGACATATAGATGGCGCCACTAGAGTTTACTTTGTTACTTTTTTACTGTTTACTGCGGAACGCACCTTGTATAGATGATCAGTAGCCGGTGTACCTATGCATTTGCTCTTTACTTATGTTGTATATTTTCTTGTAATTTAGAGTTTTGAGCAGAGAACGTATATCATAGAGAAGGTTTACAGTGCGGCCATTAGCAAAATATTTCATGCTTCGAAGGGGAACTGGAAAAGATGAGCGTGTTTCACCACATTTGGGAGGGGTACTGAAAACGATGAGCGTGTTTCACCAAATGTCCACAATTAACATCAGGGGACTGAAAAATAGCAGAATTGAGCATTTTCAATGTTAATTGAGAAAAATAATGCTACTTTCAATGTTAAGAAATGTACGCTTACAGATTCGTGTATTTACAATGCGCAAACGACTTTGGATATAATTTGAAGATATTCTTCCTATACAGGGTGGCTAACGAATCGTGCTACAAAATTAAACCGTAATAAGTTTCTTTTTAGTCAATGCATTACATTTATTTTTTTTATTGTATAGAAAATTTTATGTTATTTAAACAATTAATTATTCTTCCATACTCAACCACGCATATGCGACACCTAATTCAGGATTACCTCTATTATCTATATAATGGACTGCTTCAGTTCAGTCAGATTTCTGGGTTTGATTTTGTACACCTCTTGCTTGACATAACCCGATAAGAAAAGACGAAGCGGTCCCAAATATTCTTATTCAAATATATATGTATAATTATGTTTGCATGTAAACAAATATGAAAGTACCCATTATAATTGTTAATTTGTCTACATGCAACATATGTATGTAAATATGTACACTCATTGTTTCATGGGAAATCTCCGTTGCCCTGGACAACCAATGGCCGAAGCTCACGTTTTTTGTTTTCTTGTCAAAGAGTCACTGTGTCGAAGGACTGACGCGACGACAAAGCGTCACAACATTGTGTTGTTGGTAGAAAATCCGAGCTGTGCCGAAAAAATATTAACGAACGGCCGCCGATTGTCACCGCTTCCCTTGCCGCTCTAACAGCTTTGCCTACAAACTATCGTAAATATGTATGTTTCTGTATGAGCATGCATACATATTGACGCAGATTTTTGTGAGACACGAAAAAATATTTTAAAATTGTAAATTTAAATTGTAAAATATTTTAAATCTTTGTTGCCAGTTTTGTAAATTTTTTCTGTGTTTTGTGGGCTTGCGTGGTTGCAACTTTTCCCTGCTAGAGGGAATATCAGAAATTTGTTCAATTTATGATTTTTAGCTTTTGCCATCGTCGCGAAAAGATGCTTGTTGGCAAACGCATGCTCGGGGAGATGAGAGGGTGTCTGTTTTTATGAATGAAGCGAGGTTGTTTGTTGAAAGTTCGCCTGCGTTCATGAATGAAAATGTTGTTGTTGTGTGATTTACTATAAATTTGGGCTTCGCCTATTTGGCTGACATATTGACTTGTGACGATTGTTGTTTTTGTAGAACAATGTTTGTAGTTTTTGCGAGTGACATATTTACATGTGTAGCAATGTCATAAGCACATATGTATGTATGTACATATAGAGCAGTGCGCGCAAATTCCCAAATTGACTATATACATATAATATTTTTAAAATTACATAATTTAATTAGAATGTTATCAGTTTTGCATGTTTTCATAAAAATTCGCAAAATGATATTCATATCAATAAATATGATTGCATATAAGCGTATAAAAATATAAACCAAAAGAGTAACATGCGGCTGTAAAATCAACGCAAGTTCTGAGCATAATTTTTATTCAATGCTCAACTCTGTTCACTCGCCACTGTTAAAATTTCTCCTTCCGAGCCGACTGTGGTGAAACACTCTCATCGCATTTTGTTAGGTTTTGACAATTCACACGCTGGTCCGTAGTTGGACCTTCTCTGTATTTTACGTTCTCTGTTTTGAGCGTTGCTTAATAAGTGCCAGTTCACACAAGGACTCTTTTGTAACCCAAACCGGTTTATTGTGGGAGAGAGGACGACAAGGAGAGACGAATTGTGGGACGCTTTCTGTCCTTGTTCGTAACAATTCGCTACTACGCAATTCAGCATACCTTTTCATTTTCAAATTCTTTTCATGGTTCCAAAAGCGCTCGGTTTCAAATGAATATATACCATTCATTCAGAAATTTGAATTCCGTTATTTATTTTTTGTATGTTTTATGCAAAGAAGTATGCATAGAATAATAGAAATATTTTGAAAAATTGTGAATAAGGAGAAAATTTTAATTTTAAGATTTAAATTTTTAGTAACATTTAGCGGTATTAAATGCAGTAATACATACATAGTACATAAAAATGGAGTTACTTTTACTTTTTTTTATTTGCATACAATATTAAGATACTTTCACATTTATTTCTTTTAACAGCAAAGGTTTCAGTTCGAATATCATTTTATTTAAATCAAGAACTGTAATTAATTCATTACGGTTTTATAATAAATAGAAAAAAATATGGACTAAAAAAAGGATGGGTTTTTAATACTTCTCGAAACATTAAGAAATTCCTGTCATAAATTTGGACTTGAAAATATTAAAAGACAAAGTTCATAGTTAATACATTATGGTGGATTAGGGAATTTACGACGTAAGTGTTTCCTTGGAACTATTCAGCGGGTATTATGCATATTGTTTTACCACATTCATGGTAATTCCTTGCAAGCAAAATGTGAGATCCCCATCCCAACATACAAATTAAATATGAAACACACTTTAAGGGTCGTGTAGCCGAACCGCAAGGTTCGATTTGAGTAAATAAGAAAAATACACAAGTAAGCATGGGGTGTACTCTTTATTACAGTGTACCGTTGCAGCTCTCTGGTGATGATGTTATGTGCTACGAGGGGGAAGTTTAGGCTCATTTAGCTACCCCTTTACATAAGCTGGATGAACTACGGGCTGAAGGAACAAATTAAAAACTTTAAATTTCACAGCAAAGATGATAAGTCAGGGATGCATTTGATTCGATGTAAAAAATGAATAATGGGCTAGGCATCGCCTTCCTTTAGGTGAAATTGTATATCTAAATCGCTAATGATTTAAACCTGAATTATACAGTTTGCAAGTGAGCGAGCTCGGACTTAACGATATAAAAATGAATCAAACACTAATGAAAACATCGGTCAGTCTCTGCGATACCTTAATGATATTCAGATTAAACTTGTAAAAACAAATTTTGTCGCTGAAGTTATCTTTCCTGAAGAAGTTTTGACAGGAATTCAAAAATTATAAACAAACAAAGCAAGGCTTTATAAGTAATAATTGGGCCAACATTTTTGGATGTAAGAGTGAGCTTTTAAATAGACTGGATTATAGAATTAGCATTACTGAATCAAATATATAAGTAATATTTTTCAAAAGTTGCGACATGATCATGAGACATAGAATAAGGAGAAGCAACATATGTAGAAAAACTGAATATACTCTTACTGTTTATTTAATATATGTATAAGTAGAAATTACGTCACTATAAGAAGTAAATAAGTTGTCTTAGTCTCTAATTCTCTCATTATTAAGTCAGACACGAGCAGGGTTGCAAATAATACATTAAAAAACAATTGAATTAACAGGTAAATGATTTTATTTTTTATTTTTTAAGTCCGAAATTTTTAATTAAACCAATTTTAAAAGTTTCAGTCCCAAAAACCGGGTTATAAAATTAAAACAAATTTTTTAATACCAAAGTTTATAAATAAAAATTAAAAAAAAAAGTTTTTAAAATTGAAATTTTTTCGGGCTTGCGTAGGTTATGTTCTACCATTTTTAATTAGAGCTCGCATAGAGTCAACATCTTCAATACTCTATACATTTCAAATTTTTGTTTCCGATTTTGCAATTAAAAAAAACATATGATCTAAGAAGAAATCTCAGGTCATTAGTTATATCTAATTACTGTTAATAATGCTGTAAGCATACCTGCCCAATATTCAATTCCTGTGGAAACTGGTTCAGTACGGTACCATAACTATTTTTATCTTCGTCGATCACGGACACAATTAGTGCGATTAGCTTATGCCAGAAGTCAACGTTATCCAATTTAGGGCCGTGGTCGTCAGAGTCACGTTTTGCTTCGTTTGGATCCACCTTGAAACCAGTATTAAAGTTAAAAGCTGGCTAAGACATTTAATCTTTAGATAATTTAATTACCTGAAATTCCCTATTATAGAGTTCATAACAATTTTCGAACAGGAATTGATAGGTGGATCTAAGACAAGCCTTCACGCAATCCTTGACAACTGTACTCGCTCGTGGTGGACTAGAGAGTTCTTGAACCTGAAATAAAAGTTCAAACATTTACGGTACGTACCAAAAAAATGCGAATCAAAAAAATATTGCTACCTTCATACGAAAAAATGTGATACTGGTCAACAAATCAACAGTTGATTTGAGATCCATTAGTTTTTCTTGACTAGACGCTGGAAAATTGTTGCGATACATAGAGAGATCAATTCGTAGTGAATTGTGTAGTTGATCCAATAGTTTTACGAATTTTTCTTTCTGTAAATATGTACATACATAGACTCTTTTATTATTATCTGACAAAATAGTACGTATCATATTTAAATATAGATCAATCACAATATATGTATTAGAGGAGCACACGACGAGCTGTAATATTGTACGAAAGTTTATCCTTCACTTTCGTAAAGTATATTCCAAGTACTGTATTTCTAGAGCATATTATGGCGATGCTCCTGGATTTTTGCCTTTCGTGCAATCTTGCAAGAGCAAGAGAATCCGCCTATTGTCTATGCTTACCCCAAAGTTACTAGCGGCGAAACGATCACTTGCGGATACGGCTGATGATGCTGTTGTATGCGCATAATATGCGTTGATGTTTGCTAATAACGTACTCATTACAGCCGGAACTCCAGGGCATAAATATTTGGTAGACAGGCAGTGAAAGTGCGTCATTGCTTGGTATATATTTTCAATGCCATAGCGCATAGCGAACTCGTCAACGATCTCCTCGGGAATTTCGTCAAAATAAAGCTTCCAGGCATCATCTCCCTTCTGTTGTGGTAATTTAACCTAAAGTATTTTTAAAGATCAAGGTGGAAATTATAAGTTTTATTTACACTAGGCAGAAAAAGTCTACGTACAAGGTACCAACAAAAATAAATCGTTGGAAAAAATAATTTTATGCACTTTTTATAAAAACCAATTTATTTGATGTTCATTAAAAGATATTAAATATCTAGTTTTATGAAAATAAATGTGAATAAATTTCCGACAATAACATATAAACAAAGCAAAATATGCTGACGAATAAAAAATCCATTAGAAAAAGTCTGCGTACAGGCTACAGGAGAAAAGATATTTTTTCATCGAATTATTCTTAAAATTTAATAGAAAGTCGGATATCCCCAAAGGTTTTAAAACTTCCGCTAGAGATTTCCGCATGCAATAGACAAGCTAAAAGGTTTCTGTCGAAGGGATTTGGGCCTATTCCTAGGTGCTTTTTAAGATTAAAATCTGGTGAGTCTAGTGGTGTTTGAAACTGCTTGGGAACGTTGTAGAGTAATCAAAGCTTAACTATGTCTATGCTGTATGCTTCGGGTCGTTATCTTGTACAATAGCAGTCACTTCCAAGACACAACTCTTCTATAACTTCCATTCGGCCCACACCATTACTAGCTATGGACCCCCATATCATTACTTCTACATCACCGTGCTTCACAGTATTCATCAAGATTTCCTGCTCGAGTGCAGTGCGCGTTTTTCGCCATAAAATCTTACTCCCCTTGATTCCAATGACGCAAAACATGCTCTCATCGGAAAAAATAACTTTTTGCAAAAACTCCGTGGGCTTGTTTAAGTGCTATTTCGAGAAAGCATTATGCACTTATCTATTGACTGACGATATGAATGACTTTCTGTGTGCGACTTGACCATTAAACCCTGCATTTTTATTTTAATTTGGCGAATCGTGTCAGTGCAGAAGGATTTCTTAAAATTTTGAGTGGTTTTGGTTGCAGTAAGTCGGGGGTTTTACTTCATATTTTTTGTCACATGGTTACGTGTTTCTCGCTATGCTAGTATTTTTGGCCGCTCTGGACATGTCGGGATATAAAAAAGCTGGTATGTTTATAATTTTTTTTTAATCTTTTTATGGAAGTGTTCTTTCAACAATTCAACTGACTTCACCATATGATTTTCCTTCTTAAATTTAATAACAAACTGAAAATCGTTTAAAACTGCTACTTTTACGAAAACAAAGAAAACTATACTTTCCGACACTTTTACTCTTGGTTTTTACGCGAAGAATTCCCATTTTACTACTTGTTCGCAGACTCTTTGTGCGCTGCGAAATGACAATTTTGTGTAAATTTATCGATAAAACTATGCTATCAGATTTTCACTGCTTTAAATTATATGGGATTATGCAATAGACTAGTAATAGGGCCCTTGATGTGATTTTATTCAAAAATTTAGTATATATTAGATATTTTTTAACAAAAGAAAATAAGACGTAAGCGTGTACGCAGACCTTTTAAATGTTTAAAATAGTGACATAAAGTATCATCCTCTCTATACAAATTTGTTTTTATATCCTGATCAGTTTGTACGTATTATGTTCGCCACGAAGTTTGTAACACCTAGAAGGAAACATCGAAGACCCTATAAAATATCTTCTATACATAATTACGCTAACAAAAAGTTTGTGTTTCCTTTTTTACTGTATTGCCGTTGACATATATGGATAAAATTTATACCGCTGGAAAGGAGAAGATGTGCAGAGAAGCAGGTAAATATTGCATTGGCGCAAATTTAGCGACTACAACTAAAAGCGCGGTGACGCGTTTTAATTGGACGATGTTATTACTCCATTATATATAGGTCAAGTAAAAACAAATAAGATACATAATTGTTCGATTTAAGTCAAATATGCGCCGTTTTGTTCGTAAACTTGTTGCCAACGAGATGCCAACTTCATTATACCTCTCTCGTAGAAGGCTGCGTCCCTATTGGCAAAAAACTCGGAGAGCCAATTTTCACAGGCCTCTCTTGAGGCCAACTTCTAACCATTAAGCGCGTTCGCATGGAAAATATGGTAATTACTTGGTGCCAGGTCTAGACTATATGGTGGGTGCATTAGGGCCTCCCATCCGAACTCCCGGAGCTTCTGGCGCGTCACCAAAGACTTGTGTGGCCTGGCGTTGTCCCGATGGAACACAATTCCGCCTCTGTTGATCAAAGATGACCTTTTCTGGATGAGTGCTGCCTTCAAGCGGAGAGGGCCGAATTGAGCGTTTGGCCATAGGGGAGCAGCTCGTAGTAGATGATTCCTTGCCAATCCCACCAAACACACAGCAAAACCTTCCTGGCCGTCAATCCGGTCTTGGCCACCGTCTTCGCCGCTTCCGCGAGCTTTGACCACGACCGTTTGCGCTCGATGTTGTCGTAAGTGACCCATTTTTCATCGCCAGTCACAATCCGCTTCAGAAACGGGTCGATTTTGTTGTGATTCAGCAGCGATTCGCAGATGGAAATTCGGTCCATCATGTTTTTTTGCGTTAGTTCGTGTGGCACCCAAACATCGAGCTTCTTTTTGAATCCAAGGTTATGCAAATGGTTTGAAACGGTTTTCTGGCTTATCTTTAGTTCCTCAACAATTAAATAAGTGCTCACGCGACGGTTTGTTTCCACTATTTCCATGATTTTATTGCAATTTTCGACGACAGACCTCTCGACGCGTGGTGCATCTTTAACATCGAAATTACCGGAACGGGACCTAGCAAACCACTTTTGTGCTACACGTTTGTTTTCAGTATCGGGCCCATAAACGAAATTAATTTATTCAGCCGCTTTGGCTGCATTTTCGCCTTGATCGAAGAAAAATATAGCGAATTTTCTCTCTGCTGGTGTCCATCTTTGACGAGCGCTCACAACGTACTGAGTCAATCAATCGAAAAACTGTCAAGGACAAACTTTTAGCGCGCATAAACTTTCAGCGCCGTATAGTATGCCATAGTAACACTATTACTATAGACAATAACGCCATCTTTTAGATAAAAACCGAACGAACTTTTTACATATTTATAAATGATATTATTTGTGGTTGCGATTTTTTTCTACTTTTAATTGTGTTTGGACTTTGCGTGTTGCAACACTGAATTCTGTTACAATTATTTTATCGCACATTAGATTTCAAAAATTGTTTGTGAAAAAAAAAACACATAGAAGGGGAAATCAAATCGGTTTATTTTGGTGAGTTAGAAATTTTTAGATTAATTCCAAGTTTAAATATCACAAAAGCTAAATTGTTTTTAAATTTTTTTACCAAGGTCAATTTTCTGTAGTTGGTTTAATCAACAATATCAACGAAATACAAAGTGATTGACTTTTTTCCCGTTTTCTTTGCATGCGCTTGGTTTGTTGCAACTTTTAACGAAAATTTAATTGACAACGTTCATGTTATTTTGATGAGTTAAAAACTTTTAGGTAAATTTCAAGTGCGTTGTTAGATAGTTAACTTTTTTACAATTTTTTTCCAATGTTAATTAGTTGGTTAAATCAACATCAACATCAGTTCAATTCGAGAGATAATTTCTTCGTGTATTTTGACGGTATCCCATTACTTCCTTTATTATCAGTGAGTTTATTTTTTCTTTACTTTCAATTTGTAAGCAAAATTTTGAACATAATTTGTATGTTCGGTTGGTGATATTTATTGCTAATCACTAATTCATTCATTTAATTAAATTTTTTTTGGAAGTATAGTGTCGTCGACGCGCATACTTCTATTTCGTCATGTCTTACCGTAAATCGCTTACAGGGAGAGTATAGCGACAAAGAAATAGAGAAAATATGCAATTAAGTAGAACACGAAATGTAATTAATACTACAAGTTTAAGTTTAATTGTGATGATGTTGATAATAATTCAGTTCCTCTACGAAGTTCGCTCAAATGTGCATTGGTTGAAATACCGCCTAATTTTGATCCCTTTCATATTGGTTCTTTGAACTTGGTTTGTAGGCATTTTGTTCAAATAATAAAAGTTAAATACTATTAATAGTGATAATAAATTGTATTTTCTATTGGTCGAATCTCTACCGCTGGCGACCCTCACTTTTTGAGATAGCGATCTGAAATTTTGCGCACGTCCTTTTCTCCTGAAGAAGCTGCTCATTTGCCTGAGCCGTCGAAAGCGAACAAACTGAACAATCGGTATAAAGTACTTGTATGGAGAACTTTTTCATTTGACGAAATATGTTTACGAAATTTGACATGTATTATTTCTCAAGGTAACGGTGCAATCTTCGGGGAAAGTGTTCTGATCAGACCATTATAGAATAGCTGCCATACAACTGAACCATCGGAATCAAGTCGTTGTATAGAAAACTTTTGTATTTGACGAGATATCTTGTCGAAATTTGGCATATAATTGTTGTCGACTTGGCTAAATTCACACAAAGGTTGCTTACTTGACCCTAAAAAATGTAACCAAAGGGGTCATTGGCCTCATAAAATGTAAACAAAAGTTGTTGCCTCCTTTAAATGTAAATAAATGTTGTTGACTTGACTAAAGGTAAACGAAAGGGTCTTCGACCCCATAAAATGTAAACAAAAGTGTCATTGATCTCATAAAATATTAACAAAATGTTAATTGACACTTTAAAGTGTAAATAAATTTGAACAAGTTCGTTTTTTTTCACGAAACTGCTCATTACTTGGAACCGCCGATATCGGACCACTATAAGATATAGCTGTCAGACATAGTGGTCGGTCAAATTCAATGGAAAGCTTTTTTATTTCATAAGATATCTTCACGAAATTTGGCAAGGATTATTGTCCAAGGCAACACTACAATCTATGAATATATTGTTCAGATTGGACCACTATAGCTTATAGTTGCCATACAAACTGATCGATCAATATCAAGATAAATATCTTATACTTGTATTACAGCTTCGGTGCAGCTGAAGTTAACGTGTTTTCTAGTTTAGGTTTAATTTAAAGGTGTCTTACTTTTACTTATCACCCGCAATATTTTATTACTATAGAGTAATTGTATACTTACCATACCGCAATTTTCTTCGCACAAATAATGAAAAATGTTTTCGTGCAAACATGTATATTGTACATGATAGGGAGCGACCTTTTCCTCTCCCTTGATTTCCACCGAAATATGTAAGCGTATGGCACCAGATACTGCTGATTTGTCCGTACGCTTCTCTAAATTATACCAAACATCCATTTCACCGGAAAGTGTGCGTACTTCGATGATTGTTTGACCCAAAAAGTCATCAGATTCTCGAGTTAACTTCTGACGCAATTTCGATTTCAGATCGTTGTCTTCATCCCAGACGCGAACTTTTATCCTATCTGATGAGTTGTGACACTCGCTAAAAGTCGTTAATTAATTGTGGTTTTGTTTTGTTTTCGATGGGTGGGGACATTGCATTTAGTGACACAATGATTCAAGTTTATTCAGTCGATTATGAACATAGAAGAAGTAAGTTGAATTAATATTCACATGTGTATAAAATATATATGCATACACATAAACATATAAATATATTGTAGATTTATAAACATGATATTTATATGTACACAAATATGTGGTGAAAACTTTCATCATTAATTATATATATATAATACAAATCAACTTTTTATTACATTAACAACAGTTAATAAAGTGCCCTACGTATACACATACATACATATATAGATAAGTGTAGGCAAAATCTGTGAGCGCTTAAGAAACAAAAAAAATTTTCAGAAATACAGTAGAGCAAAACTTTCCATCATATTTTGTGTCGGAAGCATGTGCGCTAGAGTAAGTTCTCATTTAAAAAATAGTAAGTTCATAGGTGAATATTTTTTAAACAATTGTATTGTAGTTTTTAAAGCAGCATAAAAAAGGAATATTTCAGATAAGGACTGCAAAACTACTTTAAGTAGGTGTATGGTGGAATTCCATTCAAAAAAATTAAATGTTAAAAAATATTAATTTATAATAATAATTAGTCTGTATAAAAATATAAAGAGATAGAACAAAAGTATCTGGTGGTCAAGAACGCGACAGTTTTTTTCCTCCTAAACGGCGTTTACAGAATGAATGCACAACTTCTCAATAGGATTAAAAACAATTTTTGCTATTTTTTTAAGTCTTAAATAATTTTTTTTGTTTCTTGATCCAATTCAGTGGAATTTCGCTTTTAGCATAAGGGTTTATACATATGAAATATATATTGGTATTGATTACGGCATGTCCCGTCATTTCATCTACAAGAACTTTTGGTATCAAACCTCATTTTGCGCAGCGAAACATTCTTACAAAGTTTTATCAGGATATTTTATGTCCGAAATATATTGTGTAAAAATAAACGCAAACTTGGTGATCCGTGTTCCTTGACTATGTATGTTAAATTTTATTTAATAAAGTTACTAAAGTTTAGTTTAAAAACCGAGATATATTGAAAGAAAGGGAGATTTAGTTTAAAATACATAATTTAATTTGATTTTTTTATGAGCTAGTAATAAAAACCACCAACCTATTACATTATCGTCCTAACCTATTTAAATTTTTTTATTGATGTTTTTTGTTAGATTTATTGCACTAAGCACACCAAACTACTGATTCCCACGTCAGAAGTGACCCGTTTTTTATTCGCCCAAGGGCTGTAATTTCGGCAATATAACCCTTTTCGTATTGGTAAGTAGCAAGTTGAAATTGTTATTTCGAAGCAACGTATAGCAGCTGGGTTGGTCTTTATCCTCCTGATCAGTGCTGGCATTGAGTACATCTACCTCAAATGCAATTGATGAAACTATCCTTAAACCTGTTCAGGCTTTAACACGCTTAAGGAGTGGATCACACTCTGAACTGCCTATGCACCACTGGGAAAATCGCTTGTACGGCAGTGCAATTGCCATATAGATCACGCACTGCGCAACCTCTCACAAAGAGTGGCCAAAAATCTCATCACCGTTCCTCAAGAGCTCAATTAGGAAGCATAACTCCCACTTTGATCTCTTTCACACCCAGGGTCACAACAGCCCCTTGAGAAATATCGAAAAATTAGTTTGGTTTCCTTGTCGGAAAAGCATAATGATAGCTGCGGTCTAAGAAAGCATGCTAAACAGCCGCTCAGAGGTTCTGAGTTGTAAAGGACACAACGTTTTACGTAAAGATCGCTAGCGATGGTGAAACCCTAGCTTTTATACTGCATAACGCTGAGTAATATCTTCTTATAGTTGGCAGTATCGACCGTAAGGACACTACCTTAGAACGTCAGGTCATAGCTATCCGGTCAGGCGATGTCAAGCTCAACATATTTAATATAAACATGCCCCTGTTACATGTTGCCTCCTGTTGTTACTTCGCGGTGAGAACTGTTTGAAACTTTTCATTAATATGCCCATTAATTTGAAATTTGTAACAGCTCTGCCGGTGTGAATATGCTTTGAACTGAAGTCAAATCCCTGTCCAATCCGAGGATATAGGATGACGGGTGAAAGTTCAATTCGAAGGTCATGTCTCCTCGACCCAGATAAAGTGTGCGAACTACTTTAGCAGGTAATTTATATAGCACCATTCGATGAATTGAGACTTGTGGTGCCATAAACAAAGCAAAATATCGAAAACAATCGGCCCAGTCGGCATAAACCCATTGATGCTAAAGAACCTAGGCCCAACGGGAGTAAAATTTCTCACCAAGGTTGTCAATATGTCACGGACCACTTTTCATAAACAAGTTATGTAGAAAATCGGAAGATTGATTTCCAAAGTAGTAAAGATTTGAGGGCTTGCCGACATTCCTGCGGTAGGACGATTCTAGTAGCGTTAGCCATGTCGAAAGCTTTTGACACGGTGTGGTTGCCGGGATGCAGAAGGACGCAAATAAAAAAGTTTAAGAATTGTCAGAACACTGCTCTCCGGACAATAACACGATGTCTCTTTATGTCCCCATCAAACACCAACACAGCGAGGCCTGTATGGTTCCAATCAAAGAACACCACATCCTTGCAGTCACCTCCTTAGAGCGAAGCTGTTTCACAGGAACATCAATAAAACATTCCTGCTTTCAGTCGATGACATAGAACACGTTACCGACCAGAGAACGGACGCACAATGGAGCCCTTAGAGTTCAACCACCACCCATTCCAAAAGAAGAGCTCCTGTTTCCTCGTATCATCTAGATTGACCATTGGCAACTTTATTCTGAATTCTCTATCAGGTTAAATTCTTACCTATCCAGAGTTTATCTCGACATACTAAACTTATGCCCTCCATGCAGTCCCCGCATGATTCTAATCTCCTTCTGGAATGCTTCATGAAACTAGCCCTCTTCCCCGTGGTCCAACAAGACAGCAAGTTTCCTGAACCTCCCGCGAGGTGATTGTAATGACAATTAACTTGCGCTTTCTCCCAATTAAGGTTTAGATGTCCATTAAAGTCATAACAACACTAATGGTGTAATATGAGAGATATACTACATGGCTATTAATCGATGACGAAATTTTTAACATACATAGCTCAAGTACTTTATGAGATATACCTATTAAGCTTTTCAGTGGACGGTTCCATATGATTTGTGGAATATTAGAGAACTGCATACCAGCTCATTGCATTGTACAAACCTACGAACAATAAATTTAAAATTATTCCACAAAATGAATTCTGAATGAAACAAATTACAATAAGAATAGAATAGAGTGGGGAAGCGAAGTTTAGGTTCGGTTAGTTCAAAAAACATATTTACCGAATAATTGTGAAACAGCTATGTACTTATATCGTGCAACCGGGTGATTAAAACATTTACGAATATTTTTAGTAGAAGCGTTTTAAATTTTCAAAATTTCAATAATTTTAACTTTTCATTAATAATGAAAAAGAATAAAAATTAGCTAATGAAATAAGTTTTGTGCGCGTTAATGATGCGTTCAAGAATTTGGGAAAATTAATGAAAGATAATGCAGAAAATTGACAGACGTAAAAGTTTAAAATAATAAAAAAACAACATTACATTTTCATCAAGTTTTGATGGCCACAGAATAATAGCACTACATATAACTAAAAACATATTCCTTTGCGTGACATATTTCCCATTTTAGCTGCATTACTTTTTATCAATTTTAAATGTGCTCTTCAGGATACGAGGGTTTTGTGCTATATATTCATATTTTTGTGAGATTTCAAAACATTTGAAATTTAAACTAAGTAACAAAATTTAATTTCAAAATTTTGACTCAGTTTAAAAATATTTATATTCAGCCTTATTGTAAACTTCGTGTGTATAAATCGCTCTCATGTATTTTTATTTTCACTTCTGTTCAAATATATGCATTTTTTCCTTTTTTTTGAAAACCTTTAGTATATCAGGACTTTCGGCCCAAGTGTTGACCAAAAAGGACAACTGCAAGCAAGTTAATTGTTAATAAATTATGCTTACATTTTATTGATAGTTTTTCCCCACAAACAAATTTTTGAACAGATTTTAATGGATTCACATAAAAAACATTACATCTATAATTAGGCAAAATTTTCGAATATGGGAGATTTTTCGCATGTGAAGTTCACGATAAACAAAACATAAATTTGTGAATTTTTCCATAAGAAATGGCACAAAGTTTACAATAAGGCTGAATGAAGAAAAGTGAACCTTACAGCAACAACACGACTAGGATAACCTTTTCCGAGTACCACGTGGTCAATGAAAAAACAATCGAATTCATGTAGTGCAAAATTAAACAATAGATACGCGTACCATGAAGTTTTCGAACAACTGAAACACTAAAAACAAACAAAGAAAATTAATGCGTTATTACCCTTGTTTATAAATAGATTCAGAAAAATTTTAGCTTATCAGGCCATTATTTAGCCACTCTCTTACAAAAAATCAGTTGTTATATATGTTATGCATTTATATATTTTACATATTATATGTTATAACGGGTGATCCAAGTAAAGGTACTTTTTTCAATAGCCTTTTTTTGACAGATTACGCATGAGTCGTGTTAAGCGGTCATGTTATTTTATCAGTATTGTTTGGCATTTAATAATGGAAAAACTTTCGCCTGAACAACGTTTACAAATTGTTCAACTGAATTACGAAAACTCACGTAATTAAAAAAACAAAATTTAACATAATCAGCCTACTGAGCGTACTATTCGCTTAAATCTTAATTCAGAGCGTACCAAAATAGTTTCTGCAAGAACTGAAGTCACTCGACCTTCCCAAGCGAAATCGCTTTGCTCTATAGGCTCTTGAAAAGTTTCAAGAAGATCAGCCAAAGTTTTTTCAGCAATGAGGCCCATTTCTGGCAAAAGATTCAGGAGAGAGGAATCATCAGTCCATATTTCTTCAAAAATGATGAGAACGTAACCGCGCCATGATAA